CTCTTCCTTATTCCGTGCATTAGGTGCTTTTATATCGTATTTCTTGATGCACTACTCAAATCCCCAGCCAACAGCAACCATTTATGTTTTAAAACATATTCTCTTGAGAGAGCTCCAGAGCAGTCCAACCAAAATGCATTGGTTCCTAGCAATTGCACTAAAAGTGTATGCTGCTCCATGCCCTTTTCCAATATTAATTTAATTTTTTGCAGCTGCCATTTCTGGAGTCCTTCTTCCATGGGGAAACTTTCTCTTTGCGAACTATCCCTGTAGTCCTATGGATGTTTTTGGATGGTGGACGAGGAGAGGAACTAGCAAGCTGCAAAAAAACCCATAAATATAAAAAGACAAACAAGAAAAAATCAGATGGCGAGGAAAAAAAGAAAATAAAAAAAAAAGAAAGAAAAAAAGAAAGAAAAAAAAGAAAAAAAAAAAGCCAGGGCAGTATCCACATCCTTTATTGGATTTGGCCCTTGGTCCAGATCTCCTGATGATAAGTTCCCTACCCTTACTGCAAACCATTTCCTTTTCTCCCAGAGGTGTTCTGGCAGCAGCACTTCCAGGGTGGTTGGAGGAAGGATAAGAAGAGCACTGGTACCTTCTTGTCTCTGAAGACATAAAACTTGAGACTGCAGCAGGCCCTGTAATTGCTGAGTGATGCTTAGGATTGAGTGGTGTCCAAGAAAAGTGAAACAGCCTGATTGTGTCAAGTTAAAATCCAGTGGAAGAAGCAAGCTGCTGTCACGGGAACCAGACAGCATCAGGTGTAAGAACACAGAAACACCAGGGAATCATAGAATCATAGGATGGTTTAGGTTGGAAAGGACCTTGAAGATCATCGAGTTCCAACCCCCCTGCCATAGGCAGGGAAACCTTCCACTAGACCATGAATGAAGTTTAACCTCTATAACTACGCAAGCAGAGTTCCTAACATCACACTCACCCTCACCAAGCCGCTTACGGAGAGTCTCCACCATGCACTATGTCCAAATATGTCTTGGATACAGTCTTAGCAAATTTTTTCATAAATCAGGTTTTGCTGACAGGCCAGGATCTTCTTGTTTCCTTCTTCTTGTTTCCTTCTTCTTGTTTTCTTCTTCTCTTGTTATCGGCACACAGAGCGTCACCCCACAGGCTGCCCACCTGAGGTCGAGAAACGCCCTTTATGGCATAAAGTGACATTCAACAAATCCTCAAAATGACTGACTTAAAAAGCAACCCAGGGAATGAAAAGAGAACTCATCTGCTGGGGTTATTTCATAGCTCTCATGCATTATGAAAATTCCTTTTCCTGTTATATCGACCAGTCTTTATAGTATGAGAGTGTATTAATTTTGATAATATATATATGATTTCACGTTATACACTATAATGTAATCAGGTAGTGGAATTTTACTGGAGACTCCAGTACTGTTCACACTTGCCTAAAACAAACTAAAGGACAGCTGGAAATAAGGACTTTCCTTCTTGAAAGCTTAGAGCTGTCCATGAAGGCTAAAGGATACGCCTGGACAACCAAGGTAACACCAGCATCCCATCCCCTCTGTCACATCTCTGAAACCCTCTCAGCATCATCTGGCATCATAGATCAGTAACTCCAGCACGACTGACTCCAGGGATATCTGGATCAATAAACAAGAAGCAAGAATGCTGCAAAAATAGAGTTCTTCGCAAAGTTTTACTATGATTAATAATTGGTGGTGGGGTGTGCATGGGGGTGTTAGTGATTAGTCAAATCGTGTTGTACCTGAATGTGTGAAGGGCATAAGAACCCTGTGTAAAACCACATTGGGGTGCCCCAATTTGGCTGGGACACCTCATGTCCCAGTATGAATAAATGTTTACTCTTGTAGTTTGTGTCCCAGCCTCTCTCCTTGGTCAGCTCGGGGCAGCTGTGAATTTTTGTAATACCCATCGGGTGGGGTTTGCTCTCCTAGGATGGGGCATGCCAATGTGCTTATCCTGCCTCTGCCTTCCGCACATGTCCCCTGGGCAGCAGCTGGAGCCGTCTGTAGAAAAGGATTAGATTTACACCAAGATGCAAGTTCCCCATCAGTGATAGGGATGGGATTTTTCTGCATAGCAAGGAAAGTATGTGGGTGCAGCAGCTAAAGAAGTGATGTTATCGGCACCGATGAAGCAGAGGAAGAACTCACAGATAATAAGTCCACCCGGCTAAGGTTGAGGCAGACACCCATGCCACCAAAAAGCAGCATCTGACCTCACTAAATGATGTGTCTGAACCAGAACAGCGAACACAGCAGTGGGACTTCTCTGAGGGGCAGGCAGTGAGAGAAAAAGTAATGAGTTTTTGTTCATTTTCTACAGGCGGCTGTAGCTGTCAGGGCTCGAACACTTAAGAAGTTTACATGGCTTCACAGGTCAGCTGTGCAAAAGCGGCGTTGTTAGAGATCATTTTGCTTAGGCTGCAATGACAAGGAGCCAAAAAGATACATCATATCATCCTCAATTTGCCTAAATTTGCACAGTGCAAGGTGCGTCCTTGGCACAAGCCTCTTTGTTTACCAAGCAGCACAAAGAGGAGAATGAGACATCAGGAGGTATCTTAACAGATTTATAATTTCTCCGCGCTTTGCCCCTCAATTCCAGCTCTGGACCGATTTCGTCGCCAATTTCCTCCTTCTGATTTTTTGTTTTCAGCGAATATTAGCACAAGCCACTTCTATCAGCTAAAAAAAAATGCTTCCCAGACCCTCACTCCTACTTCTACACCCTTCAGTGTAGCCTGGTAGCAGGTCAGATGGAAGAAATGGTCTGCTGGAAGAAAAGTCCTGCAAAATGATGGCCATTTCCAGCTGGCCCAGTTCTGAGTTGAGCACAGCTACGTGGGACAGGGTGTGGTGCCAGGCTGGGAACCGGGGCAAGAATTGTGATGGATGCAGGAGATTGGAGCTGCCAAAATGGGAAGGGGGAGACTGGCAGTCACTGAAGCAAGTTCTGCCATCAAGAAGCTACTTGTGAAAAAAATACACGTTTGCTGTCTTATTTTTTTGCTGATGATCTTAATTTTACTGGATGTGTAAGATTTGCTTTAGCAAAACAAATATCACTCCTGGGTTTTTGCCATACCATGAATTTTTAATGCTTTATTAGAACGCTGGAGGATTTCAGCCCAGTCTGCGACTGCTTAATAGAGCAAAACTCCGCTTCGTTACCTGCTCACGCACCGCGGGGGCCATCTGTCCTCAGGATTTAACAGCTGGGAAACCAAGCCCAGCTGCCAGCTAATTCCACATGTACCAGGTACCCCGTGCGAAAACCCTCTTCGAAAGTTGTCTGCATCTTCATGCACAAAGATATTTATTTTTTTTTTAAAAAGGATTTTAGGGCTCTTTGGGATCAGACAGGGCTACGGCGCTTTCCGTGCCTAATAAACAACCGGTGCCGAGTGCCAAAAATGGGGACGGCAGAGGAAAAAGGTGTGCGAAGGCTTTGCTAGCGGGCGGTCCAAGAGGCGAGTGGCAGCGGTGGCAGGCAGCGGAGCGCCGGGGCTGAGGGAAAAATATATCGGGGAAGGGTGGAGGGGGAAAGAAGTATTAAAAAATGTATTGAAAAAAATGCATTGAAAATAAAAATGTATTGGAGAAAAACCCAAGCGCAGCCGCCCTTTGGCCAGGCAGGAGCGGGCGTTCCCCGGGGGCCGCGGCCGCAGCACCCCCCCTCGCTGCTCCCCCCCC